TCGTACAATCATGATATTTTCAGGTAACAATGCTGTCATGCTACATCGGCTGTCGTGTGGTGCTTGCGTGGGTCGCATTACTTGCAACATACAGCAGTGTGGGTGAGCGAAAACATGCTACCGCTAATGCCTTCCTTCTTACACTTTCGCGTTTTCTGTCTTTCACCCTTCTCCGCGGGTCTCAGCCCTGGGACTGACGGGTTGCTCTCCATGCATCACAATTATCTGCAGCTTCTGTATGTCCGAGTTTAGTCACAACCCTAAACTTCATAGTCTGTTTTCAAACCCCGAAAGCCTTTCTGCTTAGCCACCTTCAATGTACACACATTGAAGCAAGCAGGTCAACAGGTGGCTCTTGCTCGTACACTAGATCCCCTCTGCATTGATATATGTTGTCTGTCAGAAACAAGGATGCAGGACGCAAGTTCCGTGATCGAACTGACTGCCACCTCGCTCCCGTCCAGATCCCGGCTGCGCACCTCTGGTGATGCAGAGACCGTTGCAGCTTTATATGCTGGGGTGGGTATCGTATTGAGAGAACTAGCGAAGCTGTCGCTGCTCGATTGGATACCCGTTGGCTGTTGCATGTGTGCTGTTCATTTAGCAACATCTGTGAGAGAATCTAGAGGAAGTGAGGTTCATCACACTTTGTTGATTATGTCAGCTTACGCCCCAAATGACTGTAGTTATGAAAATGCCAAATGCAGTTTCTATGACGCTCTAGATGCCCATCTACAACAGGCTAAAATCTCACGAAAACTTTGGATGAATTACTAGTGTTGCTCGCATTAACCCACTATTTCGCGTCCGTCACGAAGAGACTGGATCTTACCGCGGTGTGGCGGTTTGTGTACCTCGGCGACCCATTGAGCTATACTCGGGGGTGTCCACGCGACACTCACAGAGTCTCTCATACCAGGTTAGTCAATGGGTAGAGGTCTGACGAACACAGTCTCCGGGCCCTCCAGGTTGAGAATTGGGAGATGCGTGGCGACGTGTTTCATAAAAATGGTAATGTACTTGCATTTCCAGTCCAACACCGTTGCCTTGCGGTTAGACTCTTGAGCATAGAGGCTTTGGATGAAGACCGTAATCGTCCTCCTGTCTAGATGTGGGGGCCCTGGGAGTATCATAGCCCTCGTACAATCATGATATTTTCAGGTAACAATGCTGTCATGCTACATCGGCTGTCGTGTGGTGCTTGCGTGGGTCGCATTACTTGCAACATACAGCAGTGTGGGTGAGCGAAAACATGCTACCGCTAATGCCTTCCTTCTTACACTTTCGCGTTTTCTGTCTTTCACCCTTCTCCGCGGGTCTCAGCCCTGGGACTGACGGGTTGCTCTCCATGCATCACAATTATCTGCAGCTTCTGTATGTCCGAGTTTAGTCACAACCCTAAACTTCATAGTCTGTTTTCAAACCCCGAAAGCCTTTCTGCTTAGCCACCTTCAATGTACACACATTGAAGCAAGCAGGTCAACAGGTGGCTCTTGCTCGTACACTAGATCCCCTCTGCATTGATATATGTTGTCTGTCAGAAACAAGGATGCAGGACGCAAGTTCCGTGATCGAACTGACTGCCACCTCGCTCCCGTCCAGATCCCGGCTGCGCACCTCTGGTGATGCAGAGACCGTTGCAGCTTTATATGCTGGGGTGGGTATCGTATTGAGAGAACTAGCGAAGCTGTCGCTGCTCGATTGGATACCCGTTGGCTGTTGCATGTGTGCTGTTCATTTAGCAACATCTGTGAGAGAATCTAGAGGAAGTGAGGTTCATCACACTTTGTTGATTATGTCAGCTTACGCCCCAAATGACTGTAGTTATGAAAATGCCAAATGCAGTTTCTATGACGCTCTAGATGCCCATCTACAACAGGCTAAAATCTCACATATCGTTGTGGTTGCTGGTGACTAGCCGCTGCTGTGGTCCGATTGGATGGTCGTCTTGGTTTGGACACGAGACGTACGGACAACAGAGACCGCTTACTTCAGATGTGTGCCGATCACAGACTGTTGCACCACAGTGCACGCACCGCCCCTACCAACTGAGGAGCTAGTGGACCCAGAAACAAACCAATCTATCAAAATCAACTCGTCAAGCGTCTAACGGACGGTTCGATAACAGATGTAAACGGCCATTTGGAGAAGAGACTCAAAGCCCCACTCAAAGTCGGAAAGTCTGTTTACGATACAACCCAGCCAATCTCATTCAAACACTGAACCTCTGATAGGATGGTGTCTCTGCTGGAGGCCCCTTGACAGATTCCTCATGGCTAGAACCACATGTCCACTCAACGCTTCATCCTACGCCAGGTGAAACTAGTTGCCCATCCAGATCGGGAAGCTTGGTGGACCCGAACGGCCGAAGAATTGGAGGATATGAAGAATACTAAAAACGTCCGTCGCTTATTTAGTTCGACTGGTCCTTGGAAAACTCTCGTCAGCGAAGTAATCAGGGACCGAAATTACCCCTGATATGCAGCAAAGCAGAACGTTCGGACCACTAGGCACAATACATCGAACAGCAATTTAGCTGGCCACCTGCTGCCTTTAATCTAGAATCCTGGTCTTCCTCGGAAAAGTAGACGATGAATATGATGCCATCTACAGTCTCATTAGTGTCCGAGTGTATTTCCCTACTCAGGTGTCATCGCGCTGCCAGTCCTGATGCCCTTCCACTGTCTCCCTTCAATGACGGCAGTGTGTTCCTCAACCACTGTCTGTCTATTTTGGAGGAATATACCGTCCCAGACAACCGGGGGGAATCGACAGTAGTGTCAGTTTTAAAACAGAGTACCCGCAGTGAATGTAGTAATCACAGGGGTGTTCGTTTTGACTCCTGTTGTGACAGTGCTTCTCGCGTCGTTGATTCTTTATTGTCTTATGGTGCACGGATAGAGGCCTCAATGAACACATCTGCACAATCCGGCAGGGACTAGAGCGACGCCACATGTACAGGCAACCCACAATCTTGGTATTCCTTGACTTCAAGAGTGTCCTCGACTTTTTCGATCGGTCAGTGTTGTTAACTAAATTTGCTCAACAGGATATGCCCCAGAAGTTTCTAAACATCATCCCTATATTCATATACTTCTGTACTTGTGAAAATGTACGGTTAGTTCCTCAAAAGCTTCGCTACAAAATTGGCATCCGGCAAGGATATCCACTGTCTTTAATATTGTTCACCTTCTTCACCGATGAAATAATGAGGCGGATGAGGGAAGTTCATCACAGCCCCTGTGTTTAAATTGTTGCTGGTAAGAGCCTTGCCCATCTGGAGCACGCAGATTATCTCGCCCCCATCGTTAATGACCAAATTGAAGCACAAGCCCTATTGTATAGAGTGACCACTATCATCCCAACATTTGGCATGCGCCTTGTACCTCCAAAATAAAAAGTCCTGCTTCGGAACGTGCAGGCTCTGAACAGATCCCTTTCAATTCACAGAGTATTAATAGACGTTGCGGTAGTTGTGTAAAGTGTATGGTGAAACCAGTGCATGAATCTCAAAGGCTCGAATCACGTTTACTAATTTGCGTCACTTGTGTTGTCAAAAGGGCACACCACTAGATCTTAAGGGTCGCTTGTAGCAGGCTACAGGAGGGGCTGTGTTGTTGTGTGGGTATGAGACGTGGCCTCTGCGGACGAATGATGCGAGTCGTCTTCAGGTTTTGACCACTGATACCCCAGAAGCATTACTGTTTTGGGATGGCATCAGCGGGTTAGAAACGAAGTCATTAGAAACCGGATATTTTGTTGTGTGCAATGTACTTCAGTTGCGCGAAACCTCCAGCAACATCGACCACGATTGTTCGGCCATGTGCTATGCATGCCGAAACGTCGTCTATGAGGACAAGTATTGTTCTTCGTGCCTCCTTCAGAATGGCAAAAATGCGTGAAAACGATCGCGAATTGTTTCGGTGTTGTTGGTGTTGTAGGCCTTCCAGGTTGTGTTCCCCGTGACCCTCCCTTGCTCGGCTTGAGCTATTGGGAGAAATGGCGGCTGCTCGATATCAATAGCGTTTGGGCAGTCAGTTAATTTTCAGCTCTAGGAGAGCACCACAGAATGCTTGGAATAAGCCAGCAAAAGGTCACAACCCTTACCCATTTTCTTCTTTTCGCTCTGGGGCTTTAAATATAGTTAGACTAACCTTATGACTGTACCGCAATGAAGCATAAGTGTCAACAGTGTTGCTATCTCCGGTGATGATTATGATGATGAATTTGACTGAAAATATGTCATTCAGCTGATCTGGTAATAGGCGTTTTGCTTTTTACTTGCATCTTCATTGAGTAGTGCTTTTTCCCACGGGTTCATACAGGCTACCTGATTGGATTTTATTATACTGTGACTACTTTTGAGCAGGTGAGTATGTGCGAAGCGCGCAAGAGTTAGAGGCAGTCTGTAATTTGGCCATCGAGAGACTAATCACTCAGGAAAAATGGCTAGAGAGCTGAAAGTGACTATTGTTTATCTTTTGAAAAGCTCGGTCACAGACATAAAAAGTAAAGGCAAGCGGTGGATGTGAATGGGTTACAGGAGAATATTAGATAAATGAGAGAAGTATCTGATTGGAAATCATTCCACCAACGGCTCCAGTCAAACAAGATGAATCCCAGCATATGTAAAAAAATTTGGTATGGGAAAACGCGTTTAGAGACCAACAACTGAGGAAAGGACCACGCATGAAAGTGTCGCAAGTACACAGAGGGCCCACAATATCAAGCAAACACACGTCACTGATTACGACCTGAGGAAATCCCAGTTCGATGGCAGCCTTGGTGGACTGAGGAAAGCACATCCCTCGTTAGAGAATGATCATCTGTTTGTGGACCAAAAGGTCGACATCACAATGAATTGCACATAGGGCTGAGAGGAGGAGGTTATGGAATATTCATCTGCTCTTCCCATTCCACACGGTCGCTTCGGGCCCATCCGAGACTATGCTTACTTCTATCACTATTGCTCGGCACTCCCAAACAAGTGCATACCCTCAACCCCTCAAAGACGAGACTTTTTGCGAGTCTCCTTGCAACCCGATTATGATGAGGACATCTGGCATCATGAGTGATCCATCAGGACTGGAAACTTTGCACCACATTTTCCGGTTTGCCATAATTTTCACGACAGAAATTGAAGATAATCTGAATAGTTTAAAACCTTACATCGTTTTGGATGGCGATAGAGTCAACCTCGGGCACGTCACCCTTCTTGCATTGTATAACACATATGAGTGGTGGGAAATTAAAAACTTCTATCTACCAGAAACCAAAAGTCGCAGGAACCGTCTTAAACTACTTATCAGCACACCCAAAATCCATGTACGCCACTACTGTCTTATCGAAATTTAGCCGAGTCAGGGCGTTGTGCGCAGAAGAGATCGACAAAACAGCAGCTCAAATCGGGAATGCCTACGGACTTCAAGAAATAGGAAACCCAAAGAGTTTGACTAGGCGGCAGTTAAGAAGGATATTTACTCTGGTATCTATACTTAGCAAGGAATGTATTCGCAAAGCAGCCATTTCATATAAAGCAGGAACTTTATGAACTTTCCGGAGGGGAAAAAACCGTACGCTCAGTTTTGGTGCAATTAAAATACCCCTCCACGTTGAAAGGACTGGAGGCTGTGAATAGATTAACCGAAACGATTGCACTAAGGTTTACAAGGGACAATCAGCCAGGGAATCGCACACCAGAATTGGGGATCATAAAAAGGAAATAAACAAACCACGAAGGAATGCGGAAGAATACCAAATTTCGGTCAGAGCTCAGTAATAGTGGTATATGTGTTAGACGGAGGACATAGAATAGATCTGAAGAGTTTGGAAGTTTTAAGACGAGGTCTGTAATGCACACCACAGAGGCTGATAGCCAAGGCGGTGGGACTTATCAAGGAACACAGTGCGAAGATAATTGAGGGTGTGCAACTGCCGAGCGTATGGAAAGCGGTCTTAGATAAGTCGAATTAACTCGTGACTGAGTGCTGTCAATGCACGTAGAATCATCATCAAAAACAGGGGGGGGGGTGGAATTTCCTACTCGACCAAACTTAATAGAATTCCTCTTCCTTACGCTGGCTCACCACACAGACGGACGAAAAGTGCAGTGTTGAAGAGTAATCATCACGTGAACCGGACCCAAAGGACTGGACGCTAAAGTGGACACAAATCCATGTAGGTTTCCCGATCGGCCTTGGTGGCCACCTTGGCACAAAATCCATTGACCGACACCTAACACATAGTAAACTCGACTTATCTGATTGGTTCCACTTCTGCCTTCATTCTCGAATAACCTCGTAACCTGGTCACTTGGCCACACGAAGCCTTTGTGTCAAAACTGAAACAGTTCCCGCCAATAAATCCACCGATTGTTACCAAACTTTATAAAGAATGATAAGATGCAGGAAGGACTGACAGTACCTTTGTTCCTATGCAAGCATCTAGTTTCTGAGTTCATGCAAACCGCGTCTGACGTAGTTCGGATTAAAGGTTTAACGGTACTTGAATACGTTATTGAGTATGGTCGAATTGGAACAAGAGACAGTTAACCACCAATTCTTTTCCGGAAAGCTAGAAATGAAAGCACATTGGGTTGATATATTTCTCGAATGGACTACGTATAAATTGGGGGTTGTGTGTAGTGCATTACTAGGCAGACATTTATAATTATGACACCCTCATATTTGTTCGGTCAGCTTTCCCGCAGCCACTATCACTTTTCAGCTCGAGGTAGGTAAATCCAGATGAACGAAAGAGTGACAAAGATTGTGAGATAAACAGCCTCGGATTTTGCCCGGTTGTCAAAACTGACCTGGAAATATGAAGAGTGGACAGGTATGTGATGTTCCTGTTTGAAGCCCTATCCAGATGGCATACAGATCAATGCAAGCGCGCATCGGTTCAGCCCAACCTCTGTTTGTGATGGCGTTCTTCACTAAATGCCCCCACAGAAGTCAAATTTGATTCAGTTTAGCTGTTCGTCGTCAAGGCCCGTAGATTATCCACAAGCTCTTGTGATTGCTTACCCGCACTATTCTGTGGAATTCCAGCGTTGTGCTTACCGATCTGACTGGCGTTTAACCTAGGTGGCTTTCTGATGACAAACAGATGACAAACAACACTGCCACAAATTCATGTGACCGTGTCTGGGATCGAAGTTGGAGCCCCACTCGGAAGCAATAAATGTACAGAGAGAAAATTATTAGATGTAAGGTATAACGTTGTAAGGGAACACACTGCGTCTACGAAATCTTTTGTGAGGAACAAAAGGAGACATGCAAAACAAACGAGTAAACAAGTAAACATGAAAATGATTATTCCGGTGAGATATGCACCCTACGTCGTGTAACCATTTTCATTTATGGCATGCAAAGATCACTCAAGAATCTTATTTCCACTGGCTATAGTTCAGTAAAATCTGCTCTAGCCACAACCACGGGAACAAACTGAGCCTAATCCCATCAACCTGATGTTTACACTTATTCGTTCATTCCAAGAAGGGTCGGCAATGCTATCCACGCGTAGGTGCAACTCATTTTAATTAATTCCGGTTATTTAGTCAATCTATGCTGATTTGAAGGATGAGTAGTATACTTTCGTCTCTCTTATAAGACATCACATGAAACCTGTTAATTAACGTACATTTCAATTTCCCATAACTTGANTGTTTTGCTATGCATCGTCGCAGGAATGCCTTAAACAGTTGCAGGGGTCGGAACACAATTTTAATAACCAATACAGAAGCACTCCTTGTAGCTACCCTGGTGTTAAAACAATGCTGATCTTGAGAAAGCCACGTTCCTTAAATGAACAGTAATAACTAGCAGTAACAAGAGATCTTCACGTCTGAACTGAGGTGAGCTAAAATTTTGCCGCAGACTCCTTCCGGTTTACTGAAAGCCTCCGTCCCCTAAATTCTACTCAATTGTGGACAAGGCTTCTTCTAGCCATTCATTTTTTAGATTATTACGAGGTTATTTCATTTCAATGAAGCGCATTTTAATACATGGGAAAAGATTGCACAAAAATTTTGTAGGGCAACGCGTGCCTTCACTGTTATAATTTGCGTCCGGAATGCAGGTCGACCTGGAAATCGGGAGTGAAATAAAATGAGTCAAATAAAAACTGCAGGCAACCGAGGGTATATTTGAGCAATCCAACGGAGCAAACTGGTTCGAAAATGCCTAAGTATATCTCCCGGATTAAACTACGTCCAGTCTCTGTCACGGATGTTATGTCGGCCGTTTCCCTTTGTCTTTGGACTACAATTTTTCTGCTTGTGGTGGGTGAGTAATATAGTTGGCAACTTTAATTGTAATTGGTAGAGGCTTCTAATGGTTTCGCTACCATTAGCATTGCTTTAACAGGTAGCGGAGAATGGAGGTCTAACTGGGATGTTGTAAAACACTAGTGTTTCAGGAATTTGGGGAAACCTCCAACCTTTGGAGATTTGTAAGCCATATGCAAAATTTGATTCGCGCAGGCTACCGGACTGTCAGTCTTTATCGTACACACATGACAATTAATTCAGTCAACTCTCGTTTCGCAGCCGTGTACTTCCAAACACCAACACGTTCCATACTGTTGATAATTTTCCGCGCAATATAACTTACAGATCTGCTTTGTGACTATTTTGAAATCAGCTGCTAAGCATCTATGCTACTTAGTGAGATTTTACTACCTGAAAACGACAATGTAATTATTAATTGTTATTTCTGGTCGCAGAGGTTGTGAAAATAAAATGTGTTGCTGAAAACTTGGCGGCATATTAGTCGTTCGTGCTCCGTTACTTGTTCAGGTGAATGCAAAGATTATGTCGGCCTTGTCGCAGCTGTATAATTACTGGCATATTTAAGTTAGGTTTACTTGCTAGTATCCAGTCCATGTAAGAAAACACTAGTGACTTTACGCTTTATGTTCTAATCGAGAACAATTAGCCTGTTTGTTTCCAAACAAAACTAAAAAACACACCATTCTTGGCAAAATAGTATACTCTCCCAATGTGCACCGGCTTCTTGAACTGACGACGGTTCCACAAGACATACACAGATTGATCAGTGTAGTCATAAAGTTTAATTGCGTAGACCGCTCGTTCAAACGGGGTTAAACTAGGAGACGTGTTCCTTTTAACCACCCAAGCAAGAAGCACAGTCCTTCTGTTTAATTGCCGCATTAGGGCACTTTAAATGAAGTCGATCTGAAGTTGTCGATTAAATGTTGCTTGATTAAACCCTATTTATCGAAACAACGACATTAATTAGGTGATTTTCCTCCATTCAGTGGCTGCCTTTTCACCAGGATGTTTGCATGCAATAGCGACAGTTCAAAAGGCGGAGTGACGAAAACACTCTTTAGATTACACTTCACACGGTGTGGTATTATCTTTTTAGCCTCACACTCAATTGATATCATATATACTATGTTGCATAGGAGAAAACCAACGTTCACAATTACTTTGGTCTATCTAAGCTAAATATACCAACAGAATGAGTGGGTTTGTGCTACATCCGTGAGTTTTTCTCAAAATTTAAATAGTTTTGTCTTTTAACAATATCCATCATCACAATAAAGCACCTATAACGGCAGGTCCCTCTTTAATTCAGAAGTGGTGGTCTGCGTATAGAAAGTGATCTTCGTTCTAATTCAATCTCCTGTCGGCCATCTGAGTGCTGAGCTCACCAAAATTAATCGTAAATGTGTTTTAACCATTTATTACAGCCAAAATGTTTTGGTAGATCAGTGGTGATTCTTGACTTAGCGCTGAATGAGGCTGACAGTACGTTCGAAACCATATCGCTCGACTAAGCGAACATGAAATTTCAGTAACACAACGTGAATTTCAAACGTTTTCTCGATAAGGAATTGTCCCACGCCCCAAATCATTCATAATGTTCGTCGTTCCCAAACGATGTTGCATCTGATTGGGTCGAAGGGTGTAAGAAATTGGAAAATCACTCAAAATAACAATGCAGAGCAAGGTCAGTGATACCATAAAAAATGCTAGTCTTGCTTTTGCACGGTATATTTTGGCCGGGTGTCCCCAAACCCCAATGGTGCGGGAGAATTCTCGTCACGGAGTATATGACCTTTCCGAACTAAATATCAATTTAATCTTAAATGATACACCAAAGAAAACACTGAGATACGTTCAGTTTATCGCCACACAATCAATTTGTCCCCTGGATTTCATGTTTTGATTGAAATCGCAAGTAATCTGGTTGTTTGGCTTGCCTTTGACTGCCGACACAAATACCGATTAGCATTAATGTATCCACAAGTCCATTTTCGGCGATCTTCTTGGGTATGAAATAATTTTCTTCACTACTGGTATACATCTGTGATAGGGAATTATACTTCGGACGTGATGTTTTATTCCTATTTACCACCGCACAGCATCCCAAACCTACGGTTCGAAGCGACGTGAGTCCTATGTAACAACAGACGTTACATCTATTTGAATTGTGAGATTACAACTGTCATATTACTTCTAACCCTTTGGAGCTTTTACAAGAACGGCATTTAACTGCTACAGAGGGTGACTTGATTAATCAGTGTACGAGTTCCATTACAACATCACACAAGAGAAGAACACGCATCTGAAGAAATCAGGGGAGAGTACGCATAACTAAAGAACCTAAAGAAAATGCTCATGAGCTTCAAAATAGTTTTCAATAGTTTTACGAATAGAATCGAAGCAAAAGTATAGCTATCATCAGTGTTGAGAAGAAACAGCACTACACATTTTATGAACCCGCAATCTTCCAAATAGTACCAGAAGGCTGTGCCGTTAGCTTGGAGTCACTCAGGGCGATCCAGTACTAAGATATACATTTGTAAATGCCATCAAGTTGTCGCTATGCAGCAGAATTCCACAAAGTGGAAGTTTTAACCAGTTGGTGGATCCTAAGATGTCAATCCGAATAACTGGCTGGGTCCTGGGAAGGCAGAACTAGCCTACGTATCAACAGCCTTCATATCAGAGCTCGAGATAGCTCACTGATTAAGGGCTAGATAACCAGGCAGAGGGACCGTGTTTCGAACCTAACACCTGCATCTCGACAGTACTTGTGCAGGTTTAGGTAGCCTGGCGGTATATCGGCATTCATACTGTCTTCAGGGGACATGGTAGCTAGTAACTAGCTAGTAACTCAACGATACGTCAACTGTCAAGCTCTGAAGAACTTTCCTGTTCAAATGTTCACTCTATTTTTTCACCGTATGCTGCAGTCTAGTTCTAAGATTCTGCCATATAGTTTGGTATACGAACAGTGATTAGAAAAATTATTTGACAGCCTTAGATAAAGGTACATCGCACATTATTTTGAGTTTTCATAAGACTTTAGAATCTGGACACTTTTTTCGGCCGAAAAATTTACTCAGGAATATGGGATGTAATTTTTTCAAGTCTGATCACTCAGTTGTTATCATTAGGTTCCGTTTTTATCCGCAAAGTTAAAATTTGGATAAGTTTATAGAGAGCATTTTAACTCTTTACTTGTTTAACAAAAGGAATCTCAACCTGGCACGATTGTATTCTGAGACATCCAAAGATTCCGTTATCGAACCCACACGATTTGTTTGTTTGATCGAGTAAAAAAGATGTACTATTGAGTCCATTCGGTGAGTCAAAAATGGTAACAGGTAGGACGTTCAACACCGGACGTTCCGATTATGGGGAGGTAATACGTGACCAAGTAATGAATCAGTTGATTGCAGAATTACAAACGCATGCCTCCTCAAACTTCGTCATCTTTTGTGGTCAAAAGCAAGTGATGAAATTTTTCGTCTAAAGTTTTTGTCTGCGTCTAAGGTAAGTTTGTGCTCATGACGGAATGTATGTTTCCAAAAATCTGCTTGAGTACTTTTTGTGAATACGTCGTGGATGCAATCTCAAACGACGCCTTGTTTATCAGCATGGATATCTATAAAAACAGCCCATTTTGGGCGCATACAAGTCGCTGAAGTTTCAGGGGCTACATTTAGATCAGTCGTTACCAGCTGAGGCTACGATTGAGGCTATTTCAAGTCATGTTTACTGTCTCATGGTAGACGTTCGACAGAGTCTTGGAATAATTACTCCCAAACACCAGTTTTCACACCTAAGTGATAAGAGAACAACAGTATTTTCTGACTTTGGTGTGCAGCGGTAGAGTTGGTAACAAATAGCACAATGAATCTCCCCAGACATTCCGTGAAAATCTGCCGAAAGGAATGTTCTGTAGCGATGCAGTACTCTGTGATCCTACAAAGCTACTCCTGGGTGTCATGTAATCATAAAAGGGGATCAAGTAGATCCATTTGTCAAACCCAAACAACAAATATAGTCGCACCTTAATAATAATACCATTAGCCTGCAGACTATGGTGCAAATCAGAGACGGTCTATCGCTTCGTCAGTCCCAAAAGCGTCTTTAAATCGGCAAATGTAGCTTTATTTGTCAATATCAGTATATGAGAAATAAGAATTTACTCAGGACCACCTCAAATAAATCGCCGTGATCCATCTTCTACAAACAGGCGGAACAGTGAAGGAGATCCGCACCGTGGTAAGCTTCCAACCTTTGCTATCCCAACCGATTCATCTATGTTCCTCTTTTCCAGTTACTAGAGTTTCTACTTGCATATTGATATTTTAAGGCGTGTAAGCTATAGGAAGTCAGACGGTGAAATCTGCTTATAGCCCATCTATTTTTTCCGACTATCAGGACCAAATGGAGAAAATTACCAAGAAAAATGCAGGCAAACTGATTGTTGTTGAAATATTCCTCGATGGGTGTGCGGCTTGCCAGCGGATTGCCCCCGTGTATGAAAGGCTGGCGGCAGAATATAAGAATGTTGTGTTTCTCAAGGTAAACAGTAAAGGAAACGGGGTAAGTCCACGAATGTTCCAACCGGCACAGGGTAATTGCAAAGTTGACAATTAAATAGCCAGCTACCTATGTAGAGGGATCGGCAACCTTATTTGCCAGTAAATTGGCAAACCACTTGACAACTAACATTCAAATAATTTTTGTTTCTGAGGGTTTTCTCCGCTTATTTTAACCGATTTTTTAATAAATGCAACAAACAGAAGTTAAAATCGGAAAATATAAATCACCAGGCTTTGGGAGATTTAGTATCACCAGTTGTTCCTCAACTGTCATGGTAGAAGAGATATAATTTGGTCTTGGAATCTTACGAAAGACTGCCTCCAACTAAGATTACCGTTGTGTGGAAACGCGCGTTCTTTTATGATTAACTCACCACAGGGCACGTATTCCTAATCCCCGAAAAGTTGACGCCTGTGAAAAATTCTCTTCCATCGAGATGCGGTGTATGGGAAGACATTAGCACTGATTTTTCCTAAATGCTGGCAGTATATTTATCTGCCTATGCGCGCGCACACAAGATTGCATTCTACTCAGTCGCGGCTCTTTTAAATGTTTACGATTCCTATCGAAAACATAATGAGAAATTTTCATAGGGACACTCCATCTTACAGGAAAATCCCAATAATAGTGTGGTAAACTTCTTGAATCTCATGGAAGTGTGAGCCTAAATTGAACAGTTGATAAGTCTTCCTTGGGTGACTACTAATTTATCTTGATCAAGCAGGTGACATGGTTGGACTATCATTCTGGTTGACGTGCGCTTCTTCGGTGTGCTTCGTCAGAGACTCCGCACGACATCGTACCTCATGTGTCCAGAGTCCTCTGAGATTACTGAGTCGTAAGAAAACGAATGAATCTTCTCCTAGTTTTCATCTTATAAAACTGAGTCATCAGAGGAAGGTCACTTCGGAGCTGAGTACGTCGGAACTGATTTGCTTACTGGGATATAGGGAAAGTTTTTGAGAAACAATAATCTTACTTTTAAACAATTCAACTCCAACCTGTTTGCGGGCGCTCTGTCTTTCTTAAAGAATAATCAGTAGTTTTCCGAAGCAGACACCGTATCCACCCATATAGGTCAGCTGTTCCGTCATCTCAATGAGTTATACAGGGGCGAAGAATGGATTCAAGAAAAAAATTTATATGTTCACATTGTACTACTCATAATGTTACTGAAAATCCGTCGACAGCCCACGACTAGTTTCGCCCTTCTTGGGGCACATCAGGTGGGCGCATTCGCCGGGTTTCCGTCAACCCTATGTTCTACTCGAAACCTAATTGCACGAAATGAGCGAAATGCACTTACCTGCAAACTAATTTGGTTTTTCGAAAGACTCACCTGGACCGCAACTGAATATATCGTTTGTGATGTTTTCAGCAACCTTATGAGTAGTACATTACAAATATATGCATGTGTCGCAATATCTGGAATATCGTAGCGTCTGAAACATGGGGTGGCCTGCTGCAGCACATTCAGTTGCCTGGAAAATCACAAACGAAAGATTTAGCTGGGTTCTAAGTGAGTCTTTCGAAAAACCAAATTATTTTGCAAATGGGTGCATTTCGCTAAAAAACCAGTATTATTGGGATGAAAATAATTGGTATCACCCGACGCAATGTGAGCAAGACTCATTTTCATTAGTTCCACTTTCAATGACCTGGCCTACAGGTTTTCGACACAAGTTTAGTGTTGCTGACCTAAACAGCCTTAAGATTACTATTTCTCACTTTCAATTTTACCGGTCCATTAGCTGCATTCATCCTAAATTCCATGTTCATTTCATAGAATTCAGTAAGAGTGAAATCAGATGTGAAATCACTAATGGTTGGCAGAAAAACATTAATTCTGAACTTGCTAAGGTTGTATAGTTTTCATCGGCCCTCTTCTTAAAATTAGCTGCTGTGACAAGGTTTCATTTAGAGTAAAATTTCTAACTGAAGTGTCATACACTCAGTGTCTGTGAATGCCTACCTGATTGTTTCAGACTTGCTCAGAACGACATGTCCTACTGATGCCGATGTTGAAATGGAAACTTACCTGAGACACATCACATACAACCCTAGGTCGATCTAGGAAAATTGGAATACAAGAACCTGAAGGGAAACTGTAACCAATGTTCATGCCAATATATATATATATATATATATATACCGCATGTCGTGAACCAAGTGTATACTGTCTTCAATTTTCAATAAAACACAGGCTTTTTTTATAGGTTTTAAACATCTGTTCAAAGACGCTATCAATAATCAGAAATTAACGGACGTATTACATTAGTTTATTAAGTAAAGTTGACCAGCAGCTTCCAGAGCCGATCGTCGCGGTTTCAGTCAACCAGGTTGACCAACATCTAGTATGCGGGTGTGAGCTCCAAAACTCCTCAAAGCTATTACTCCGCGAAGGAAAGCACTATATTTCGTTTACATGACATCCGTGATACTGGCTTGCAAAACGTTCATCTGTAATATTCCTCGAGTTTGGATCATGAGTCTTTGTGGCCAGAGTCGGAAAGGCCATACTGTCACGGGAAGGCAGACTTCGGGATTGCGCGCTGATTCAGGATCACCAAACAGATGTCAACCGAAAGCGTTTTCATTCTATAGAAGACACCTTTTTATCGTGTGTATCGTGCGTTGTTGTTTCGTATTGGGATTAACTGTCGGTTTTCAATTTGGTTGTTGCTGCTTATCAGAACCCTCTATAATGTACACTGACATTTTCTGTATAGAAAAATTTCGGTATCTCAGGTAGCGTAGATGGTCGTTAGCTTATTCGCTGAGCTGGGCAGTTTGACTGCAAACGTTTCATCACCAATCGAGGTGACATCAACAGTGCGTTATTGGAGAGCGTAGTGGTGCGTAGCGGTGGGTCAGTGGTTGTACCTGGCTGTGTCTGACATTCGGCCACTCCTGAGTAAGAATAAGAAAACTTCCCAGGTTGTTGATCTGCGTTAAGATCCACTACTTAATTCCTCACCTGATGAACCTATTCAACTGAAACTAATGATATTCATTTGCTGAGCTTGTAAAGAAAATTTCAAATGGCTGTTGTTGGAGGTCCGCTTGCGCATCTTCCTGCATTACCGTTAATCGAACTGTTGCTACTTGAAAGGATTCTGTTACCTGATTTTGAAAGTATCTTCTGCCACATGAGAGGTGCTAAATGGTGATGACTACTAATTCGGATAAAACAACTGTAGACTGCTTTTTGTAATTCAACCTAAATTTGTTCCACTCATAGGAAAACTGAGCAATTTACATTCCGAAGTTTATTCTTACTGTCAACAATCTGTTTGCGACCAGAGGAAGGAATAGTTCATAGGAAGAGTGAACCTTCTATCCGATGAAGTGTCACCCTAGTCAAAAAGGTGATGGCAGTGTGCAAATTCACGCTTGTCTATTTGATGATTTTAGAGTGGTTCCACCATAGGCCTGTAAAGCTAAAAGCAAAAGACGCATGATCGATTAGATCCTAGCAATTTTAGGCCTCCTAACAACCACGTTCATTCGATGAAACCTCCTATTTTGAGTGTGCAGTCTATATGGGCTCTATTCCACATGGAATTCATCAACCTAGTCATTGGTTGCCTTACATTTACCTATTTTTTCATACATTATAGGGACTTGCATGGTTGTTCAGTGTCGACAGTTACCCGGCATTTTTTTTCATGAGGGACGGCGAGCCGCTCAATTCATTTGCGGGAGTCAACGAAGCCAGGCTACGTCGCTTCGTGCAAGTGTATGCGGGCAAAAAATGAGGTGTCTTCAACGGAACTTTGCAAATCGCCCATTAGGGGAGTCCTGTTGCTAGTGTTTTCAGTTATTTTATTCATTCTGTCTGTTGTTTTATGGTATTTTGGGAAAATTTCGTTCACACACGAATAAATCCTGCGAATTTCGCCTACATTCTGATAGTCTCCTAATCGTGGGAAAGGGGGAAAAATTAATTTGGGGAAATATGAAATGTCTTTTTGAGCAGCTTGCTGGAAAGTGCGCGAAATCAGGCTTCTTCAAGCAGCCGAAGAGGAGTCGAATATTTATTAACATCAATCCATAGTGGCGTATGACTGTTAGTGTGTTAGTTGACAGTGACCTATTGGTGCTAGCTCAGGCCTTTCAAGGAGTGCTTGCCAAAATTACTACACGCTTCACAAAATGGCATGCATGTTTGAAACGATCAGATTTTTTATTCATTGACCCCAAAACCTACGCAAAGGATGCAACACGATCATAAACTCCATATAACAGGGAAATAACTTGATAACTTTTCTGTGAAAACTATGAATGCTTTCATGCGGTCTAGACCCGAAAGCCGCTTTAATGTCCAGCATGAATCAACTTGGACGCACCAATTATAATTATATATAAAAGCTTGCATAGAAAGACGGGTTCTCTTTGAAGCATTAAATAACAAATATTTCTATCAGATCCTCTGGCTAGCGAGACTATCACGATGACCATAGGTTTCATGGAAATGTTGCGTGGTCATTTATACCACCACCAGAAACATGTGAATTTGTTATTATTTATATAGGGTGGCGGAAAATTAACCAAGGTGACCACACACCTCAAACAGTTTGCTCGTATTAATAAATCAGTTCCATGTGATACCATAATGGAAGAATAATAGCATGAGTTCAGTCTTGGTTTTCACGCAAGCCACGATTCAGTGCTTCAGAAAAACGCAACGCCTAGTCTGAACGCATATTCTGCTAGCCACAACTAGAGAGAACCTCGAATGGGAGCATCCAGTTTCGCTGTTAGTGTGTGCGCATGATGGGTTTCCAAGCTCAGGCTGTTTACCAGGCCATTTGCATGGCTGAACCGACGTCCTAGATTCTAACTTGAAGATGTCCTCATCTTTTAGACTAGAGTGTGGAAACGTATTTCCATTTTCTGGCGGCAGCAAATGGTTCGAAGAAGACTACCATTTGTCATTTAGCGGTGCGCATCCTGAGTTGCAAACTCGGTTGTTTGCCATAAAAATAATGCCTCCGAATTTTACACGCACTCGTCTTTTTCGTACATGAAGTCTTCGAATTATTCACATTTGTGTCACTACGAATAAAGTTGAGTGAGGAAACTTCACATGGAAGTAAAATTGTTAAGCATCACGCCACTGGTGCAACCAGAACTAATGAGTAGGTGATCTTATTTGTTTCTCTGGTGTGACCGATGGTCGCGTTTAGCACGTGATAGTCCAGATGTTCCCAACAGGACATTAAGCTTGCCACGGACAGCGTAACCAGAAAACTCTATTTATTTTTACGGGATATTCAGTTGTAGCTCTCGTTTCCGGTATTGTTCAACTGAATGTACTGCACAAGGGATGCCTCTTGTTTCGGTCGGCACGATATTAGAGATATCGTAGTATATTTTCATGAAGGAAATCACTCCTAATTGGGTTCAAGTAGAACAAAATGTTGAGGAAAACTGCGCTTACTTGAACAGCCCTAAGAAGGCCAAAATCGGTCGCGGGCTGTCGAAGAATTTGCAACAACCTTATGAGTGGTTCCCTCATGGTACGTAATTACGGGTATTCGCATTCGAAGTAGATATATGTTTTTGGAAGCACTGATTAGGAGATCCTCTGTTTTAAGCACCCACTTTCACCCTGCCATGGGAGAAATTACAAGCTACCGTATGAAAATATACGTAGATCAGAAAAGACACTCATTTAATTGTCAATTTGTTTTTCACGAGCGACTAACTGAATTAATCGTTCATTGTGGTCTCCTTGTAAGTTTGGTTCAAATAGAATGTAAAGTTGACGGAAAATCGGGGACAGCACCTCCCTAATGAGCCAGAAGAGGGGTGAGTTCGGCAGTATGCAGTCGAAGAATTTTCAGAGGAATCCTGCGAGTATTGTGCTACGTCCATATATGTAGCTCATCTTCTCTTGGGACGCTGCACAGTTTTTCGCCGGACTAATTGATTGGTTGTAGAAGTGTTAATGTAAGCCTAAAAGAACACAAACCATTTGTGGTTTGCTCACCGGGAATGTATTCTTCCAACTTGCAATCAATATCGGTTGGTTCTTTCCTCTTATCTGTTCACACCGTTCGTTCCGCCATTTAATGGCTACTGGTCTACTGTTCTTACAAGTAATACTGACTTGTAGTGTTATTCTGTCATTTTTTTCGTGTTTTGCCGCTCGGAATAAGGTGAGTAGATTGATCTGCGATAAAATTCACAGACGAGAGTATAAAAGGAGAGGTATGTGCATTAATGCGCGCTAATAGACCCACTAACAGACCAGTCATTTTCTACAGAGGAAAATATTGGTAGCTCAGCTAGCGTAGATGGTTGCTGGCTTGTTAGCTGAGCGGGACAATTTGATTGCAAACGTTTCATCACCAGTCGATGTGACATCATCAGTGCGTTATTGGGGAGCGCAATGGTGGTTAGTGGTTGTGCCTCTATCGTTCCTGTCTGGTTATCTGTGGTTTTGTTTGAGTTTCTTCANTTCAGCGTCGTGTT